AGATTTCAGTTATGCAATTGCGTGATTTGGTATAAAACTTTTCTTTTCCCCACATTGTACCAGTTACTGATTGACACTTTGTATAATTAAAGACTTTACTGGGACTTATTGCTTTTTTTCCCCATCTTCTGACTAGATGAGGGACAGTTTCAGTGATTTTGTTTTTTCATTTAGTGAATTAAGCACCTCTTACCAACGTCCACTTCACTGATAACTATACTTGTATATGCAAATAGAAGAGTTCAGGTTGTAAATGTGAGAAATGTAAGTTGTATCACCATATTTGTGTATTTAATCAGTCTAGAATGCCTTAAACTTTCAACTGACTCTGATATTCTTTCTAGATTGTGAACCTCTCCCTCAGTCCAAGAGACACTTGCACTGTACCTCTTCTGCAAATACAGAAGGCAGTTCAGCCTTGTCCTCAACGCTTGTGCCCCTTTCTCTTCCTCTGGTACTGAATACAGATAGTTCAGATCTGCTGCCTTTTTAATAGTTGATGGAGAGTCAAGAGTAATGGAAGATCTTTCTTCACATGCTCTTCTTTGTGATTGGGTGTCGCTCACATACAGGCATGTCACATCATATGCGCATTTAACTTGCGCAAATTCAAGTATACGCGGGGGAGGCAGGGGCTCGAGTCTGCACACGGCGCTGCCGCTTACCTGGAGGCCCGGCCACCACCACGCTGCCAGCTGTGACTGCCTCAGCCTCCAAAACCTCCCGCCGCCACCATGGAGCCGTGCCCGGAGCTGTGTGGCCAGTGGCCGGGCGGCATGCAGCCATCCCCACCACCACCCTGCGCTGTGCTGCTGCCACTGGCCGCACAGCTAAGTGTGGCTCCGTGGCGGCAGTGGGAGGTTTTGGAGGCAGAGGCAGTCACCGCTGGCACGGTAATATGCGATTTCACTGTACGCGATTTTCGTAACCCCCGCGTAAGATGCGGGATGCCTGTAATTACTTCGTATTTTATGCACCTTCCTTGTCACAGCAGTAAAGGGAAGCAAGTGTGGAGGTATTCCAGCATCTTCTGACACGGGAAGCCTGGTGAACTTGTTTGCCTTTTGCTTTCCTCCCCTCCTTTCACAGCGCCCCCCCCAATACATCACCTGACACCATCATCTCTGCTCAAAGACATTGTATGGGACAGTGGTTCATAATAAACAAAAAGGTCACAGATGTCTCTGCTAGAGGGACAGTCCACCAAGGAGCCAAAAAACCTAAGTCTCTAAGAGCTTTCCCAATAGCAGAAAGTTTTAAGATTCAGGCATCTCTAAGGTGTTGTAGAACAACTGTCATCCATCCATCTTTACACTGAACTACTACAAATTCTGGTTTTCCTATATAAGAATTTAATAGGTAAGACTGTGCTGACCTGCAGGGATTCATATTTTGAAGCTATTTCCAGGAAAGCAAGTTCATCACTAGAGTGATTCAGTTTGGTGATACCATCCACCCCCAATTTCAGGTAGGATTTTACCTTCATGTTCTGGCCATGGTCAGCAGCCTGAGTCACATCTGGGAGCGCACAGAATTTGGTCAGAGTTAGAAAGGCTTTTAAGCTTCAACTTCCCGAAGAGACTGCAATTGAATTAGTTCCTTGAGATTTGTCTCCCCCTGATAGAGTTGGAAAATGAAAGCTATATATCGGTAATAAGTTTAAAAAAGCTGATGCCCAAACATCAGAGCAAAGCAGATTTTCCCTGGGCTGGGCAGAAGAGCACCTTTTGCATCAGGGTAATGCACACAAAAAGATCAGTAGAGGTGATAGAAGACAAAGTTGTTGACAGGATACCAACACACTCAGCCAAGGCTTTACTCGGGGATACAGGCTATTCCAAGTTGTATTGCTTCCATCTGGCCAAATGCAAAACAGAGCTGAGGCCCCTTGCCAGAAAAGCAGATGAAAGGTCATTGAGAACATGAATGACAGAATGCTTCACTGCCTCATTTTACCTGATGTGTTAACACCTCCCCCATCTTTCCCCCCAAATAAAGCAGAAGATTAATATGGAGAAATATCATTACAAAGATAGTTCAGGAGCTCATCTTTTGTCTCCATCTTAATTGCCTAGAAAGCATCTGTATTGGCTATAACTGGGTCAAATTCTGGGTTACTAAGGATGTTCAGCAATTAAAACAATAATCCCAAATATGTCCAGGGCATAGGTCAGAATGCAGAATGGGAACAATGCTAACTGTCCTTCCTAAAAGTAACATCTTAGATCCTATATCAAGATATTTATACTATTGCATCTGTAAGGCTCATGTATGTAAAATTAATTATCTTAAATCTTACTATTCTAATACATTTTTTTTCTCACAGCTCTGGAAGTGCTTATCCCTTTATGATACTTTGGCATCATCCTTCCACCCCACATGCCAATCTGATCTGCCCCTATGATTATGGAAAGAATGAGACTGCTGGGGGTGTAACTTGGTAAGTCAGTCCCAGGTAGGAAAGTAATGTTGGAGGGACTGGGCATGTTTATGGTTATCAAGCTGTTGACCTCAATTACAAGTAGCTTATTTCTTTTCATTTTTGCACCGTGAACAGCAAGCCTGTAAATATTCCTGAAATTTCTAAACTAACCTAACTTCCTTTTTCCAATGCTAACATTGGTTTTATAAGCGAGCTTATTTTTGATATTGTCCAGTGAAGTTCTGTCCAGTTAACTTTGACCAGATAGAAATAGGCGGTGCTGAACTAAAGGAACTTTTCCCCCAGAAAATTTCAACTGCAGAATGCTGTTCTTCCATTCTTTTGAAGTCAAAAGTGTGGTGAGTTTTTGTTGTTCGTTTGTTTTTGTTTTTTCCTACAAATCTTATGCAAGTTGCTCAAGATTATGTTTCTTGGAAAGCAGAGCTACAGTGCCATGAGTAAGCTCTTAATTGTAATCAGTAAAAGAGCTGGGATCTTGACTTTTTTTTTGTATGGAGCATGCGAGCTGCAGTAAGTAAGAGCAGAAGAGAGAATGTGATGGAGACTGTCAGTGAAGACTGAAAACCCTAAGAGGATTCTATTTTTAGGGTGATTCTTTTTTAGATCCCATCTGTAGGGTTGTTATTAAAGTGAAGAAAAAATGCACCATCAAGTGTTTTGATCAAGAAAGATATCTCGCAACAGACTACCAACCAGGAAACAGCAGCAGCATGGGAAAGGAGCTGTATGTTTTCACGTTGAACAATAGTCTTTTAGTTTTTATTTTAAAGGTTGCAAAGAGGTTGCGGGAAGAAACACTTTTGGATGATACCCAAATGAGTGACCAGTTTGCAGGGCTACAAAACAGCAGGCTTGTAAAAGCTGGTAAAGCAGAGGTATACTGCAACAGGTTTGCATAGGGCTCAAAATATGTAACAAATCTGTTATAATTGAAGATACAGCAGCAAACCTTAAGTAAGTTGTGATACGACTAGACAATTCAAGGTATAATAGGAGAACTTTCCAGATTGTTTTATTTTTGTGCTTGAGGGCACCATAATATACCTGTTTTAAAATTGAAATTTAAAAAAAAAGTTTTTAATTTTATTTTTACTGCTCTGATCCATTCAACACAAATCTCCTAATCCAGCTCTCACGTGGCTTTTGCAGTTTTATCTTTTAAAGAAACAGTGGAATTCTACCATTTTTTTCCCAATGAATACTTGTTACACTTACTTAGTTTAAGTTTGTTAAGGCATTATATTTTCAAACCTCCCTATTAAAAGCTTCACAACCAGTTCACTATCTCAATATCTACAGGGTGTGTTCTGATAATCTATGTGCTCTTAAATTTAATTCCACCAAATCACTTACAATTGGACTGAAATTTGCCTATTTTTCAGCTGGTTAATAATGTTGTAGGTCCTTACACTTTTTCCCCTTGTAATAGCAAACATTAACCTCAGTGCTGGCCAAACAGCTTAAAAAAGAAAAGAAAGAGAAAAAGGCTTTTGAATAAAAATACCAAATCCTGTTCAGTATCCCTTGTTAGGGTAACCTTAGTAAGAAGCCACCAGGCATCTATGTGGAGTAATTGTGAATCTTGTGATAAAAGCTTCAGGTCAGTGAGGAAGAGAAAAAGAGGATAGGGGAGAACATGCTTGAATGCGAGTAGATCTTGGAAGGCAATCATAGAAAATTAAGGTCGGAAGGGACCTCAGGAGGCCATCTAGTCCAACCCCCTTCTCAAAGCAGGACCATCCCCAACTAGATCATCCTTGACAAAGCTTTGTCTAGTTGGGTCTTAAAAACCTCCAAGGACGGAGATTCCTCCACCTCTCTGGGTAACCTGTTCCAGTGCTTTACTACCCTCAGAGCCCAGTATGCTGTTAGCCTTTTTTGCAGCAAGGGCACGCTGTTGGCTCATATTCACCTTATTGTTCGCTGTAGCCCCCAGGTCCTTTTCTGCAGAGCTGCTGCCCAGCCAGTCAGCCCCCAGCCTGTACCGGTGCATGGGATTGTTCCATCCTGAGTGCAGGACTTTGCACTTGTCCTTGTTGAATCTCATGGGATTCGTTTTGGTCCATTCCTCCAGTTTGTCTAGATCACTTTGAATCCTAGCCCTACGCTCCAGTATATTTACTCCCTCCAGCTTGGTGTCATCTGCAAACTTGCTGAGGGTGCACTCTATGGCATCTTCCAGGTGGTTGATGAAGATATTGAACAAAACTGGCCCCGGAGCACTCCACTTATTAACAGTGCCAAGTAGACATCAAACCATTGATTACTACCCTCTGAACCCGATGATCCAGCCAGCGTTCTATTCACCTTACAGTCTGTTCATCCAGTCCATATTTCCTTAGCTTGCCTGCAAGAATGTTGTGGGCAACTGTTTCAAAAGCCTTGCTAAAATTAAGGTACGCCACATCCACTAGTCTCCCCACATCCACAGAACCAGTCATCTCAGAAGGCAACAGGGTTGGTCAGGTATGACTTGCCCTTGGTGAGTCCATGCTGACTCTTCCTTATCACCACCTTCTCCTCTGAGTGCTTAGAAATGGATTCCTTGAGGATCTGCTCCATGATTTTTCCTGGTACTGAGGTGAGAGTGACTCGTCTGTAATTCCCTGGATCCTCCTTTTTCCCTTTCTTAAATATGGGCACTATGTTTGCCCTTTTCCAAGCACCTGGGATATCTCCTGATCACCATGAGTTTTCAAAGATGGTGTCCAATGGCTCTGCAGTCTCAATAGCCAACTCCTTCAGCGCCCTCAGGTGCATCCCATTTGGCCCCTTGGACGTGTATATGATCAGCTTTTCTAAATAGTCCCTAACCTGTTCTTTCGCCACTGTTGGTTACTCCTCAAACTGTGCTGCCTGGGAGCTGACTGCCTGTGAAGAAGGTATTGAGCACTTCAGCCGCTACTGCATCCTCTGTCAAGGTTGCCTCCCCCATTCAGTAAGGTGCATTTTTCCTGACTCTCCCCTTGGTGCAGACATACGTGTAGAAACCCTTCTTGTTACCCTTCCCATCCCTTGCAGGCTGCAACTCCAATTGTGCTTTGGCCTTCCCGACTTCATCCTTGCATGCCCAAGCAATGCTCCCTTTTTTTGTCCAAGTTTCCACTTTTTATAAGCTTCCTTAGTTTACTGAAGAGTTCCCTTCAAAGCCAAGCTGGTCTTCTGCCATACTTGCTAGTCTTCTTGCATATTGGGATGCAGTATGCAATATTGGGATCTCAGTAAGGCTTCTTTCCCGTACTACCAGCTCTCCTGGACTCTTCTCCTTCTCAGACTGGCTTCCCAGGGGGATCCTGCCCATGAGTTCCCTGAGCAAGTCAAAGTCTGCTTTTCTGAAGTGCAAGGTCCTTACTCTGCTGCTCTCCATCCTTCTTTTCCTCAGGATTCTGAATTCAATCATCTCGTGGTCACTACTGCCCAAGTTGCCATCCACTACTATATTTCCTATTTAAGGGGCATTCACCCTTGTCAGATCTAGAGGAGATTCATCAGCCCCTTCTCAAATCTTAGAAAGGTCTTCTGGCCCATCACTCTAAAATTGTCCTCCTTTTTTATGGTTTTATTCAGTCAGGAACCAGGAATGATACCATGTCTTATTCACAACCAGAATAATGAGCAGTAGTTCAAGATTTATAAATACAACTATTTGTAAACAACAGCTTGGTTTGCTTATGATTAGCATTGGTTGGAACTGGGTACAAAATGCAGTGCAGAAGACTAATAGGGTCTATAACAAGATGCATTGAAACACTAGTCTTGTGGAGCTCTGAGCCAATCCCAGAAGTACCCTAGAATTTCTGTCCTTGCTAATGTAAAATGGCTTCTTCTGTGAAATGACTGTTTGCCCAGTGTTCTCATGGCAAAAAATAGTCTAGACTTGATTGAAATAACTTCTTTTCCTATAAAAATATCATTTTTGGGTGTTTCTGACTAGGCTTTTTTCCAGAACTAACTCAGCAACCTCCTTCCTGTAGTCCTCTGGTACTTAATAAAATGAATTGTAAAGCCTTGGGATACACTCAAAGTAATATGTGGTGACTGTAAAAGGCAGGGTAGATTTGCACCTTATAGACTAACCGAAGTGTGTGTGTGTGCGTGCGTGAGAGAGAGAGGCACACAATATTTAGCATAAGCTTTTGTAGGCTGAAGCTCACTTTATCAGATGCTGAAGTGAGCTTCAGCCTGCAAAAGTTGCTGAAGTAAGCTTTAGTGCTGTGACTAATAAGCATTAAGGCTGTGCAAAATTTCAGCAGGTTTTTCGTTTAGAAGCTGTTTCGACGCGCTTTGAGCTCAACCGTAAAATCGAAACAAAATAAAAGGCTTCGAAACGAAACGAGGGCACTCAAAACGTTTCAAAATGTTTTGAGATTCAAAGCCGGGCTTGCTTGCAGCTAAACAGAAACTAAGGAGAGGTCGGGGGAAGGACTGCTCTGATATTGACATCTAGCTCTCTGATCGCTTCCCCCAACTCTCTGATTGCTTCCCCTAGCTCTTCCCGGGGGAGCAGGCCCCTGATCTATGCGCAGAGTTTCAGCAGGCTGCTGCTGCCAGCTGGGGCCAGTGCCAGCACCTGAGTATGCTTGGCGCAGGGCTGCATCGGGCAGACTTGGGGGCTGGGGCTGGCACTAGCCCTAGCCGCTAGTGGTCGCGCCACTGGCCCTAGCCCGCTGGCGGCGGCAGCAGCCTGCTGTCACCGTGCACACAGATCCGGGGGCCCACGCCCCTGCATGTGGAATGACAGCAGGTTGCTGCTGCCAGCTGGGACCAGCGCTGGGTTCTTCCCAGAGCTCAGTACAGGCTGTGCCAGGCAGACTTGGGTGCTGGCACTGGTCCCAGCTGGCAGCGGCAGCCTGCTGTCATTCCGCATGCAGATCTGGGGACCTGCGCCCCCTGGGAGGAGTCTGGCACAGCTCTCCCGGGGGCCACAGGCCCCTGGATCTGTGTGCAGGATGACTGCAGGCTGTCACTGCCAGCAAGTGATACAAGTTTTTCTTTGAACAGTTTGAGGCGTAGTTTCCCAGAAACCCTGCACCTATCTCCTTGAAACTTGGCAGGCTTCATGCCCTCAGAAGGGGCTACCATCCCTGGGATGCTCCTCTGAATCAGGCAGGAAATGACAAAGATTTTCATAATTCCCCATTATAGCCTATGGGCAAAACATCAAAACACATCAAAAGCGTCAAAACAACGAAACAGTTTTGACGAGATGGAACAGTGCTTCGAAACAAAACACTGTCCCTTCAAATCGGTGAAACGGAAGTCTAAACAAAATGGTTCTGTTTTGCGCAGCCCTATAGTGTAGAAGATTTCAAGTTGCTAAAGAAGCTATGTTTTGTTTAGTACTTCAAAAATATAACTTGTAGAGTCCTACAGAGTCCTGTATATGTAGTCATACAGTTCCATTTGGGTATAAAGCTGTTATCAGACTGTCACAGCAGCAGATTATATAGATGAAAATTTCTTTGTAGTATCCTTTTGTTTTGAGGAAAGTAATAATTACGTGCTTTACCCCCTTCCATCCAAGGAGGACTCTACAAGTATCACCACTCTCACCATTTTGGGAGAAAGAAGTGAAAACTACTTAAAAAATGCAGTAACCTAAAACTTAAACTGACCAGACCCGAGTTGTACAATGACTCTGACAGAGTTGTAACTAAAATGATTTGCTTGCTCAGCTCTTGCTGTTAAGCAACACTATTTGTGATATGCCAAAACAATTTTTATGAAGGGAATTTCATCCTGTGAATTACAAGTGTCCATTTCAAGATAACTTGAATTGAATTTTTAGATCCACCCATAGCAGAAGCTAGCTAAAATAAAATAAAATTAAATAAAAGAGTCTGTGTAACCTATGTTATTTATGCATACTTACCAGATAAATCACTAAATCTGGACAACTTATTTCTTATGGGTTGTAGATGCAAGAAGCCAGTCAACACTGCAAAGCTGCCTTGATTTGTGATGTGTACAAATCTTGCTTTTATGCAAATTCTGTTGTAAACATCTGCAGGTTTTTTTGTTCAGGAAGAAAGGACTTTCAAAGGTGAGTCTAATAATAGCTTCATTTCTTAGCACTTCTGTCTGGTAACATATTTACAACTAGACTCACTGATTCCAGAGTCTGTAGAACCTTTGTGGTGTTTGTCAGGTTCCTGATCCTCTTGGAAATTACATTTAACCTTCTTACCTGCCATAAGTGTGCACTGTCATGCTAGGTCTTTGCCTAGCATATACAACCCCCAATTTGGAATAACTTTTCTATTCTAATGTATTTGTTATGACCAGATGGGTGGATTGCCTGAGAAAGAATAGAAATAGAAACAAGATTCAAAACATTCTCCTCATACTTCGTAAACTGTCACTTCTCAGTTATTGGAGGGGGTTCTTAAAAAATTAATTGTTTGGTTTTTGTTTTGGGGTTTTTTTCTTTCGCAGACTTGTCCTTTTCATATGTAACTTGTCATTTTTTTTCTTTTTGTAAAGTTCCAGGAAAAAAGTGCCTTTTCACTTCTGGATTGTTTATGTAGAACTGTGCAAAAACAAGTTTTTACATAACAGCACAAAAATGCTGACCATGTAAGCCGCCACTTCATTTTTATGGCAGTGGTAATTACTTTTTCAGCTAAGTGTGCCAAAAAGTGATCTGCTTTTTTGTAAAATGGGATCTGTTGTTTTGCTTGGAAAAGTTGTTAATGTTCATAGTTTACTTTTTATTTTGAATATTTTTCTATCATATGTTTTTCATTTTTTACTATAGATTGTAAGCTTTTCAGGGCAGGGGCAATCTCTTTTTGTGTTAATATTTTTAACATTGCCTGGCAGATCTATGCCTTACCACAGTTTAAATAAGCAATCTCTGTACTGCTTGAACTGAATTGATAGGGTTTATTTAACTACTAATACCTCCAGCCTTACTCATTGGAGGAATTGTATTGATGTCAAGGCCTACATTCGCAGGAATAAGTGTGTGCACTGTCAGGGCACGACTTTATGCTTTGTGCAGTGTTGTATGGGTGGATCTAGAAGTTTGAAAAGTGGGGGGTGCAGATGGTGAGGTTCATCATCCCAAGGGGCCTACTGAAATTGTGATTTTGTGATATATGCTGAAACTGCAATTTCAGGCATACCATGCAAAAAAAACACGGGATCTGTGCTTTTGGCATTTTCCTGGAGGGCAGGGAGGCAAACTCACTGAAAATAAAATGCAGGCTCCCTCTGGGGAGCCAGCAGTCCTTGTGTCTGCTGTGACCTTGCTGCACAGCCTGCCAGGGAGGGAGGGGGGTTGCTGGCACAGCAAGATGGCTGTTGCCTCACCCATCGCTTCTGATTGGCTGAGGGCTGTCCATCATACAGCCTGGCCCAACAAAAATCAGTGGCAAGGGGTGAGGGGGGGGTGTCACATGAGAGCCCTTGCAGCCAATCAGAAGTGAGGGGCAGAGCCACCAGGCCCCCTCAGCCAGTCAGAGCCAGGGGCGGGTATATTCCGCTCTAAAAAATGGCTGCCAGGGCAGCAAAATTGGCCAGCAGCCATCTCGACATTGGTAGACCCCTAATCATTGTACATAAAACAATATGCACTTTTTCACCAGTTAGAAATAAACTAGAAGCTTTACTAATTTGTTTGGGGTCAAAGGCTGTATTACTCAGTTTAAGATTGAAGCAAAAAATAAATACACCTTCACTGGAATTAATTTAAAAACAATCTACAGGGCTGTGAAATAGAAGCTTCATTATCAGGAGCCGCTAACAGACAAAAGAATTGCAGAAGAAAGGCTAGCTTGATTGGTGGAACATCAAAACTGTTAAAAAGGAGAGAGGGTTGTTAACACCTGTGGAAGGGAGAGATCAGGTAAATATTAGAATAAGCCATGAAGTCAGTTCCCCCCCCCCCCCCCCCGGTAGTGCCCAACTAAAAATGCTGCTGCCACTGTCAGGCAGTTGGTTTTAAACTTTGGGTGGACTTGGAAACAAAGTGGGGTATAAGTGCACCCCCCACTGGATCCACTACTGGATTACAGAACTCTACATCTCATTTTCCCTGAGTCGTTTGCTTTACTGGGTTTTAAATAAGTAGGATGTGCCCCTGCCTGATCACTTTCTCACTATACAGGAAACCCCTGCTTAGTGCTCTTAATTGGTTCCTGAAAAACTGAGCATTAAGCAAAACGAAAAGTATTTGACAATCCAAGATGGTGACTGCAATTGTTTTTAATGACCCAAGATGGTGACCGCGAGCATTATAACAAAACTCCCTGAGCTCTAAGTGAAATCAGGTATCAATTTAAAATGAGTGTTAGCAAAATAGCACTCAGTGAAACAGGGTTAAGTGGGGGGCTGCCTGTATTGGCTGATGAAAGAACCATAATCCCAAATGCCACGGTTCAGCCAAGAAGAAGAATCTTTCTGTTTTGGAATTTCACCCCATTGTTGGACAGTCAGAAAGCTCTCTCTCTTAATGGGGGAAGGGACTTTGTACCAATTGGCACATTCAATAAAATACAATAATAAGGAATAAACCATTTTTAAAGCATAGCAAAACTGGGGAAACTTTATCCTGGAATAGAACAGATCTGTACGTAATACAGCTAACACACTGGATGCTATCAAAATTCAAATAAGGATTTTGACTTTTTTTTCCCCCTTAAGAACCATCATCTGCTATTCCATAAAATATCAGAAGTTATAAAGTGATATTGTAGCTTAATTTAAGCTTTCTTGTTTAATCACTGTATATGCTATTTAGAAGCAAATGGAGTTCAAAAAAAGGTCTTTACTTCTCAGCTTGGATAAGCTGTTCCTGAGATTCTTTAGAAAACTCTCTTACAAATAAGATTGCATTAATGAGGTTCTAGATTACTGTAAAAGGTCAAACAATGTCCATGTTTTTAAAAAAGGAAGGAGGAGGATCTGAAGAATTACAGACTGGTCAGTCTGCTCTCAATACCTGGAAAGATCATGGACTCTTTCAAGGAATTTACTTCTAAGTACCTGGAGGGGAGAGAGTTGATCAGGAATAGCCAGCATGGGTTCACCAAGAACAAGTCATGCTAAGATGATGGGTCCAATGGATGGGACAAGAACAGTAACTGATAAAGCTTGACTTCAGTAAGGCTTTTGCCAGTCTCCCATTCCTGTAAGTGAAGGACAATAGTCTAGATCACTGGCTCTTATCCTTTTATACTCAAGGCATCCCTGGTGAGACTCAAGGCACCCCTTAAAAAGTCCCAGCTTTCACTCATTTTGACTGGAAAGATAATAGAGCAATTCTTCTATTGCAAAGGGCTCCGAGATCAAAGCAGGCCAGCATGTTTCTGATATGGGTTCCTATTTGAAATCTCTGGCTTTAGTTTGTGAATCATGTAGATACTTGCACATCTAGCAGCGCTAATATTGCTTTGCACCCTGTGGCACTCTTAAAAAGCATCCTGGATGAGAATAACTGGTCTAGATGAAACTACTGTAAAGTAAATGAGCACGGTGATCCAACAAGGTAAGGAGTATTCATCACTGACTCAGAATATAAATAGGAGGTATCAAGTGGGATTCCCCCAGAGGTCTCTCCTACTTCATTAATTATTTAGAGGATTGGATTAAGTACACACTTGGCAAATCGGCAGATGAAAACCAGCTGGGTGAAGCTGCAGACATTCTGGAGGTAGGATTGGGATTCAGAATGGGACTGATGCTGGGGAAATGGTCCAAAATTAACTGAATTAAATTCATTAAGGACAAGTGCAAAGTAGACTTACGATGGAACAATTGCAGGCAGGTATACATGCTGCAGGACTACTGGCTAGGCTGTAGGACACCAGAAATGGACTTGCGGGTTGCATTAGACTATAAGATGAATGTGAGCCAACAGTGTTTTCTTGTTGCAAAGCAACCCAATGGCATGCTGGGCCGTTTTAAAGGAGGTGTTACTTTCAAGTCAAAGAAAGTGATTCTTCTGCTCTATTTAGCACTGGTGAGGCCTAAGCTGGAGCATTGCATCCAATTTGGGGCAACATGCTTCAAGAAAGTTGTGGACAAATTCAGTTCAGTGAAGAGCAACAAAAATATCTAGAGGTCTAGGAAACATGAGTAACAAGGAAAGGTTAGAAGAAGAACTGGGATTATTTAGCCTGGAGAGAGAACTGTTGAGGGGAGGAGCAGAGGTGATGATAACAGTCTTCAAATACATGAATGGCAGCAATAAAGAGAATGGTGATACAAAGGAATTCCAGCTACCCTCATCTGCAGCTACCATTACTGATTTTGTTAATCATGGTTGGCTCCTACAAAGTCTTACTACTTATTACTGATTGTGAAACTTACAATGATGAATTGTCCCACTGAAGTTAATTGGGATTAATCCTTGTAGTAAGTATCATGAATAATAAGTATTTACATCAGAATACATGTCATCTTGTCCATATAAAACTTAGCTTGGATTCATCTCGAGTGCTTGTTTTAGCAGGGGGTTATGATCTGCAGAAACAAGCCCAAATCTGTACCAGGATGTATATTCTTATTGCTTTTACTATGTGACTTAAGCAAATACAAATTTGTTTGGATGCCAGAACTAGAGACTGTTCCAATCAGGCTAGATAGATTTTGAGCAGCATCAGTGGTTTTTCTCTGACTTGATAAAACAGTTTTTGCAGGTAAAAAATTAGGCAAGTCACTGTAGCCTGAGTGCTCCTTGAAACCTGTTCTGAGAGCAACAATGTATGGCTATTGTGGTTTTCTTATTAGGGAAACATTTTCATCTGTTTGTTAATATGGACCCCGATCCTGATCTGCTTGGAACCAAGAACAGGATTTGCCCCTAAATGAGAGTAACATTTAGAAAAATAGTCAAAAGTTCGGATCCCAGTTTTGCTCTCGTTGAAGTCAAGAGTTACTCTTTTGCAGTTACTGAAATGGATATCCCCTCTGGGTAACAAATGGGAGACTGGAGAGAAAAGAACCAGTTTGATCGACCTAACAGAAATGATAAAAATGTACTGCTGTTATTGCAGTATTTTCTGGGACATCTGTTGACTAACAGAAGGGGAGAAGATGCACAATAATCCATCACACCAAGCACATTCAAAGGGATCACTGCTCTTAATGAATTGGGAACCTTTGCATTTGACCAAATCGTTGGCTGACCACAGCATTACTAAATTTAAATTTTGATGCCCCCACACAATTTATTTATCGTCATGGTACATACAGATAATTATAGAAGCCTCATGACATTTGATGAACCAGTTGGCAGTGCTCATGGAGCATGCAGAGAGATGTTGAGCACAGCATATAGAGCAGCATGTAGAGGAAAATATGGCTTTTGATTTTAAAATCTATTTCTTGAATAAAAACACTTCAAAATACTTTTAGTGTTCATTATTCAAACCCAGCATTCTTAGTACTTGCCACAAAGTTGTCTCATCTCCCTAGGCTTGTTCACCCAAACAATAAAATAATGAGAACCTTAAGGAGGAGATTATTTACAGAACTAGGGTGCATCCCCACATGCAGAGGCGTGCATTTCCAGGGGCACAAAAAGCAGTAGCACACATTTGTGCTGCAGCTTTGTGCCCCAGGGCATACCCCTGCATTTGCGCTCTCGTGCATGGCAAATTGTCCCAGGTGGGGTAGAGGAGGCTGGCAGCCTTACCTGAGGGCCTTCTGGGGCACCAGTGCACCAACCAATCTGGCCGCACAGCCTGGCCAGCAACTAGAGCATGGCTCTGGATGGTCAGGCTCCATTTCTGGCAGCACTGCTTTTTATGTTGTGGGTTTTGTTTTGTTTTTTTTTAATACCAGGACAGCCTGGTATTAAAGTTTGGTACATCACTGCAAATTCGCTGTGTGATACACAGTTGCACATTTGCTGCATGTGGCTTGAGGCATCGAGGCCGCAAACCGTGTATGTATGCTCGTCTGGAAGCACCCCTAGAGTATAGAGGTCGTCGGAGATGTGTACAAGTTTGGGGTGTGTTGCTAACACAAGCTTCATTTCCAGTGATGATCTGTGCACATGGAAGTGAATTGTCTACTCCCTGTGGCATCTAGATGGGCCACCTCATATACTATATTAGTTACTTTCATGCAGATTTTTCACTCTCTCTTCCCTCTTACAAGTAGACACAACTAGCATTTAGCAGGAATAGTTCTATTGATGTTGACACATCCAACATGTATTACTTTCCTGAATATGAGTCACAGGACTGGAACATGAGGAATCAGTCTTCATCTTTAGACAAAAGTCATACTGAAGTGAACCTGAATGGTGCTTGATTGAGGACTATGTATGTTTCACTCTGTGGATATTAATACCCAAAGCAGTTTGGAATACATACAAATCTTATGTTCCTTTGCCTCATCAAATACAAATGGACACTGTGATTTAAATTGAGTGTTCATGTTACAAAAATAAATTCTTATACAGACTATTGTGTTTCAGATAAGGCATTGGTGACCAGGTGAATACTTTTTAACTCTGAGTTTATGTGGTACTGACTGTATCTATCATATGACCAGCCTTGCTTTATGTAACTAACCAATAATGACCTAGTTCATACAGAATTAAAAACCTGAATATTCAGTTGCTTAAAAATTAGCCCATTAAAATGGAAGATAAGTTCTTGTATTGGGGATGCAGTTGTCAAAGAAGCTCACTGTTGAACTACTGAAGTAAATGGGAAGTTACCATTAAATTTATGAGCAAAATTAGGCAAAGCCTTAATGATTTTGATAACTCTATGCTCTTTTATTATTGAGTATTAACTTTTTGTAAGGTTATATCAGTAAATCATTCTGGGAACAAATAGCAATGCAGAGATATGTGGGACCTACATGAGTTTATTTTAGGCATCCATGTGTCTCATGAGAGAATAGAATTACACTGGGTGAGACATCAGCTCACTGAACGTAATCCTCAGTTGAAAATTAAGTGAAGCTGGAATGACCACTCCAGGGCACAAAAGCCTGGGCAGTGTATATATGGAGACATTGATCTGGCCACACACCAGTGTCCCTCTTCACAGGTTTAATCCACAGGAAAGGCAGGTGCCCAGTACATTTGGAACCAGCTTGGCTACAGGAGCAAAGGAAGTCATGCATTTGTCTGTCTGTCAGGGCTTCACTTCTAGACAGGGTGCCAACCAGGGTTAAAGAGCTATTCAGTTAAAAAGTGCTGCAGACACATTGGGTGTGAGAAGAGGAATCGTTTAGAAAGCACAGTAAATAAAGGAGTGCTGTTGGTGTGAATTTTGCTAGCCCCATGAAAAATACATTCCAGTCCCCATGATCCCAGAGAGTATGTTTTGAATGAGATGGAGAAGAGAATGAGCCAAGAGCACAGTTATGAATTCTGAACAAATGGGATGTTGGGTGTCCTAACTTTCAAGTGGTCAATATGCCTGCTTGATAGCAATAATAGTTTATTCACAGCTTTCACTAAAACAATACAGTAACATTGATAAAAACAATTATATAAATCTTATATATATAGTATTAGATTGGTAAGAGCATACAATAACATTCTATCAATTTAAACCCAATTAAAGCAAAACATAATAGATGCTGATTCCAAAAATATAACAAAGGGTAATATATGATAGTAAAAATAAATTTTAAAAAATACATGGGGATTCTATTTGAACTTGGCCCTTGTTCTTTGTGCAAGTATCACAAATATACTTAGGGGTATAGGAGAAGCTGTTAAGTTGTTAGAGAAGAGCCAAATTGTTTTTGCTTCATTAACCCAATACTTAAAATATTCCACTAATGTAAGGTCCATTTTCTTATCTCTTCACAGAATGAACAAACAGTGATTCAAGTCATCTTTCTCATTCCTCCTGCAAGAATATACCCTGTCTACGTATAGTATCTGACACCACCTGCCCATAACAGTTGCAGATCATATTAGAGTGAATCATGGTCTAGCAATGGCTTGTCATTGTTTATTATTTTGTACTTCAGATGGTAGGTTTCTAGGCCAAAAGAGCGCTTTATTAATCTCAAAAAGGGAAATTTGAGAACTGGGCTGAAGTGCTCACAATAAGCAGCCCTGTTTCAGATCACATGAACTGACCCCCATCTGTCCTTCATAGCATTTGGTAGACATAAAAGCTGCTTTAAATAATAATTAGTATTTTGTTTTTATTTTGGACTGAACTGTGTGGTCAGGACCCATAGTTCCACTCCATATAATACAGTGGACTCTATCTTAGCTTCAGTTCTGGTACTACCGCCCTTCTGGTATTTTTAGGTATTTTTTTCTTTATACTGTCTTTGAATGTTCATTTCAGTGAAAAAAAATAACGTTTGGACAAGAATAAAAGTTCAGTAATGAAAAAAAGTAGTTACATTCTGAAGAACCAAGAGGGCTCATCATTTTCCCTCAATGCAATCAGCCTCTGGGCTCCCTTTTCCTTTCCTGGGAAGATCCACAACTGCCATGGAGCATCATGCATGCTGCAGAAGCTGCCAGGAAGATTGGAAAGTTAATACGCTCAAATTTCTGTAAAGGAGGTTTCAAGAGAAGTCAGATATTGTCCTGTCCCAATAATATACCAGCCCAAAATAACCCTGCTAAATAACTCTTACTGCCAGAGGAACTTGGTTACTTGCATCTGGAGTACAAATTGGTTAGGTTTGTGTGTGATATTTATAAAACCACACAGTTAGAAAGTAGAGAAGTAAGACTCCTTCACATACTCTTAGATTGCCAGAGGGAAAGACGTTATCAAATTGCCATGGAAAATGGAGGCTCCAGAAGATGAATGAAGTGTGTGAAGCAATTTAGCTTTAATATACAGAATACAAGAACTTTAAGAGCAATTTCTGATCCATAGTAACCTCCCAGGGTAGCAGATGAGCGTACTTAATTTTTGCTTATCTATTACTGGCAACTCCCCTTTATTTTATGCCATAACTGTTTGCTGTGGAATTAAACTATTTGCTTCATTGATCATATACTTTTTTTAGATCATCTTGTCTGTCAAAGGGAGCGCTGAAGGTCTTTGCCATGGAATTATGGTGTCATGTAATACAGCATCAACCTTTTAGATGGCTGCTATTTGACCCTCCACAGCACTCAGACCAGTTTATTATTTTGGCTAAAATAGGCTCTGCATAGACTTTACAATGTGTTAAATCAATCAATATTTGAAGGTGTAACAAAATAAACATCTTAAAACCAGGCACAAATCTGAAACAAACAAATATTGAAGATTTACTATAAAATACTTACTTTATGCATTAAGGAATAAACAAATGGTGAATGAGCTATTGGAAAAAAAATCTCTCTTTCTACCAGATCCAAGCATGGATTTGTTGGTGTCTTTACAGAGAACAATGACATTTCTTACCAAAAGAACTGTCTATGTAATCTTTTCTTTAGTACAGGTTTTTAGGTTACATATTAGTGGTGTTCACGAAAAATCTTGGCCGTATATGAAGTGACTTCAGTTCCTCAATGTGCTGCTGCTAAATTGATGAATACATTGAAAAATGGTTAAAGCTATGTTTAAGATCCACATCTACATACAATGTTATACATGGGGACCTACCTGACTTGTGGCAAGAGAAAGCAATTTTTGCGGTTTGGTCACAGCTCAAAGATCTGATTTTGTGGTCATCTTGGGCAGCCCTGCCCCTTGGTGCTGACTGGCAGAGAGGCCCCAGGGGGAGGAGGGATGAGGAGGTAGCCAGTGTCTTGACTGCTGGGTGGGTGCCCTTCATGTGGCTCTGCCACTTGGCACTGATGGGCAGAGAATCATAAGAGGGCATCTTGGCTGCTGTCCTTTGTACCAGCCCACCAGCTGGTACCTTCCCAGCGAGGACTGCTGAATCCCACCAGGGAGCCAGCCCTTTATTTATGTATTTATTTATTTATTTTGGTTGATTTTCTGGGAAATTGCAGCCAATGCCATTTTTCTCAGGTTCCGTGAAAATTGCAAAACTGCTATTTAAGTAGGTCCCTACTATTATAAAATACACTATTACAATACTTTCTAGTGCCCTCATCAAGCAGATAACATGGTCCTTACTAATATGAGCTTCAGTGGGACTTCATGGTAAAAAAAAAACGTTGATTGGTAAGCATCCAGTTTGTGATATTAGTTTGTAACAAAAAACAGTGCTACAAGTTGTCCCAGAATCAATCTCTGTATAATAAATATTTAAAATAAACTTTTTTATTATTCCTCAGACAACTGTAGTTTTATTTGTAAACGTAAATAGGATTTAAAATACCAGTCAACTGAATGCTAAGAATCTTTGATCATTAAATCAAACCCCATGAGACTTTTAAGGGTTGTCAGCATGTGTGGGTGTTTCCTAAAGTTACGTTCTAAAGATGCAGCCAAATTAATCACTGGTATAATGCCATTTGAAGTAAATGGAGAGAGAATAACTACTACAGAGTTATGGTACCAAACTAAGCTATTACAGCAGATGGCACTTAAGAAGTCAACAGTTACCATATGGTGATAACAGAAATACCAGTATTTCATCTCATAAGTAGAAAAATACAGTACTGCTTTGCATTAACTGTTGGTAAGTGTTGAATTTCTAGTGGCAGCCATGGTAAATTACTACATATTGTTAAGTGTTCAAGCAGGCAGACTTTATGAGTTCTGCTATTTTGCAAATAGAATACTGAGACTATCTGAATAAAACAAATATTCATTAACCTCTTAACAAGGTTTAATATATGTAGGAAATGTGGCAAATTCCAGTGTTTCTATTAGAAATATGCAAGACTTGGCTTCCCCAATTACAATACAAAATATCTGGATTTTTAGCAAGGCTTTTGATTATGATTTCCCACAACTTGCTCGCAGGCAAGCTAAGGAAGTACAGGCTGGATGAATGGACTGTAAGGTGAATAGAAAACTGGCTGGATCATTGGGCTCAGAAGGTAATAATGAATGGATCAGTGTCTAGTTGGCAGCTGGTATCGAGTGAAGTGCCCCAGGGGTCAGTCCTGGGGCCAGTTTTGTTCAATATCTTCATTAACCACCTGCAAGATGGCAGAGTTCACCCTCAGCAAGTCTGCAGATGACACCAAGCTGGAGGGAGTAATAGATGTACTGAATGGTAGTGCTAGGATCAGAGTGATCTAGATAAACTGGAGGATTGAACCAAACGGAATCTCATAAGGTTCAACAAGGACAAGTGCAAAGTCCTGCACTCAGGACGGAACAATCCCATGTACCTGTACAGGCTGGGGGCTGACTGGCTGGGCAGCAGCTCTGCAGAAAAGGACCTGGGAGTTGCAGTGGACGATAAGCTGAATATGAAACAGCGTGCCCCTGTTGCAAAAGGCTAACAGTATACTGGGCTGCAGTGGTAGGAGTGTTGCCAGCAGGGCAAGGGAAGTGACTGTTCCCCTGTTTATTTGTAAATGTAAATCATATGGAGTACTGTGTTCAGTTTTGCGTCCCGTCCCCCCCCCCCCCCCAAAAAAAGGGGGGGGATTGATTTATAAGGAGAAGCTGAGGGAATTGGGCTTATTTAGTCTAGAGAAGAGAAGATGGGATTTAGTAGCAGCCTTCAGCTACCTGAAGAGGAGTTCAAATGAGGGTGGAGCTAGACTGTTCTCAGTGGTGGCAGATGATAGAACAAGGAGCAATGGCCTCAAGTTGCAGCAAGGGAAGCTTAGACTAGATATTAGGAAGAATTTTCTCACAAAAGGGTAGTAAAACACTGGAACAGGTTACCCAGAGAAGTGGTGGAAGCTCCATCCTTGGAGATTTTAAAGACCAGACAAGACAAAGCCTTGGCTGGGATGATCTAGTTGGAGATGGTCCTGCTTTGAACAGGGGGTTAGACTAAATGACCTCCTGAGGTCCCTTCCAGAGGCGGATTAAAATTTATTGGGACCCTGGGCAAACACAAAATTGGGGGCCCTCCTCTTGAGGTGGAGTGATTATATTGGTTGCATATCAGATTAGCACTGATAAAAAGAAAATTAACATTATCAGCTATCAGATTTTTTTTTTGGCCCATGTAGCCAATTAATATCATCGCTGCTGTGTGCACCCTCTGGGGGATGCATGGGGAGAATGTGCACCCCCAGATTTGTGTGCAGGGTGAGGGTGGGCTGCTAGCTGTTGGCTTGGGGCCAAGGGCTGTGCCAGCCTCTTCCCATTGGGGGGCCAGGCTAGGAATGCCCTCAGGTTGGGCAGGGGCGGGGGCAGGGCAGGCTCAGCTGTGTGGGGCTGTTGGTGGCCCTGGGAGGGGTGGCTATAGGCAGGCTATGGGAAACTTTTGGGTGGCTATAGCTCCCCAAGACCCCCCACCCACCCCAGTGCTGCCCCTGCTTGGGGTACTTCATGCAGTGCTCCCACGAGAAAAGCAGCAGAGAAAGTGTCCCAAGCAGGGGCAGCACTAGGGGAGGTTTGGGGGGGGGGGCTAAAGCCACCCCTCCCAGCACTGTCACTGCCCACCCTGCACAGCTGATCCTGCCCCGAGCCCAGCCCTGGCCTAGCCCCCCCAACCAGGAAGAGGTTGGCACAGTCCCTGGCCCCAAGCCTGCAGCTGGCAGCCCATCTTCACCCCACATACAAATCCAGGGGACACATGACTCCCATGCCTGCCTCGGAGGTGTGCGCAGTGGCAGGGAGCCACTTGGACCCCACCCCTTGGTGCCCCTTGGACAAGCTGCCTGCAGCTCTGTGACTCCTGGCCTGGGGTTGCATTCACCACTGTGGCTGGGAAGCCCCAGCCCCTGCCCCACTCCCTCCCTCACCTCCATCTCCTCTCCCTTGCCCCCCATGCTTACCTGCAGGGTGCTGGCTGCCTGGCTGTGCCCCAGGCCATGTGCACAGCAGTACCTTTAATTTTGCAGGTTCCTCCCCTCTCTCCTCCTCCTTGCCTCTGACTGGTGGAGGGGCTGCACTTGCAGCTCACTCCTCAGCAGGGAAGCAAAAGCCAGTCTTAAACTTGGTGCCGTCTTTGTCTCCCTGCCACTGATTGGTGGAGGGGCCCTGGGGGCCCTGCTGCTTGCTGCCAACCAGCTGGGAGACAAAAACAATGTCGGGTTTAAAACTGCAGCTTTTGCTTCCCTGCTGACCAGAAGCAAGCCACAAGCGGGGCCTCTGATTGGCTCGGGCCCTGCTAATCCGCATATGCTTGTAACCCTAATTTTCTATGACTTCATGATTTGTACTGTCG